CTGTGGGAAGTCCAAGGACCACCCACCTCCATCCAGGTCTAGTAAGGTGAACATCCAAACTGCCTAGGCTCCCACAAAGCCAATACGTGCAATAGGATCAAAAACAAAATGGGTTGATTTAATGTGAAAGAACTTGCTAGGAATATGCTAGAATCATTGGTCAAGCAGTGTTTTAATTAACACAGTTTCTGTGTGGTTATTTCGGGAGGCTGGGATTAAAGGCCAGGAAATGAACAAGCAGTATCTCACTATATCCCCCTTTCCCTCTGTCTCACTGTGCGCTCTCTCTCTCTCTCTCTCTCTCTCTCTCTCTCTCTCTCTCTCTCTCTCTCTCTCTCACACACACACACACACACACACAACTTTAAAACAAAAGGGTATATAAATTCACAAACCATCCGTGCTATCTAGTTTTCATGTCAACTTGACACAAGCTAGAGTCATGTGGGAAGAAGGAAACTTAAGAAAATTCCTCCATAGGATTGCCCCATAGGCATATACTTGATTGATGACTGATGTGGAAGGGCCCACTGTGGCTAGCGCCACCCCTGGGAAGGTGATCCTGGATGAATGGTACAGAAATCAGTTGAGCAAGCCATGGAGAGTAAGCTAGTAAGCAAACAGTACTTCTCCATGGCCTCTGCTTCTGTTCCTGTCCCCAGGTTCCTACCCTGAGAATACCCCCTGACTTCATTTGATGAGGGCTGAGATATGAAAATGTAAGCAAAAAAACCCCTTTCTCTTGAAGTTGCTTTTTGGTCATGGTGTTTTCAGCAATAGAAATCCTACCTAACACACCATCACCTTCATCACCCTCTCTTACTCTATCCTATGCATTATTACAAGATTAGGACTTAGGAGTTTTGATCACTCTACACTACAGCTCTTTCTTTCCTGCTCTCATTTTCAGAAGATAAAGAATCATATGTTTAAAAGTCACTGAACCAGGAAGATGGCTGTGGTTGAGAAAAGCTACACGAACTTCCTAACATCCATTCAAGCTTGTTTTTTGTTTGTTTGTTATGTTTTCCTAGACAGGGTTTCTCTGTACAGTCCTGATTATCCTTGAACTCATAGATCCACTTTGTCTCTGCCTCCCAAGTGCTGGGATTAAAGGCATGTGCCTCCATTCAAGCTCTTGCCAGTGACTATGGCAACTACTCTAATATCTCATCTTGTTCTTTTCATTTTGTTTTAGGTTCAAGACTAGACCTGGACCTCATTCTTTGGCAGTAGGATGACTGTTTCACAGTGCTGGAGACTAACTTACTCATAGGAATCAGTGATTGTTTGTGCACTGTCTATTAGACCCCACCCCTCTTTCTACTCAGAAGTCACTGTAGGTAAGCAGCTCCAGGGTAGGGAAAGAGGGTTCCACTCAGCAAAGCCTATGTAGCCTCAGATTCCTATGGTTTTTCTTTACTCCAGTTTGCCTCTGAGAGCAGCTCCATGTGAATGAAGCACTTGTACTTTTGTAACCCCAGGTTCTTAACTTCTTGGCTAGGCCCACATGAAGAGCTGCAGTAAGTGGTAGGTTTTCCAGTTAAAATTGGCCAAGCACAAATAGACCAAGAAAATGACTATTATAATTTGAGGTAACTGAAAAGATCAAAGGATGATTAGTGCTGAAAAGAAACTTATAAGAAGAGATTCATTTCAGTCTCCTGGACAGTTAGTTTACAGAAACTAAGACTGACAAAAATCACAGTATTTAGCCATCTTTTCTCTAAGCATTTACATGTTTTAAGGGAACAGATAATGGATGAACATTTAATAATAGTTATTTAGTATTTAATGGTTAAATAGTCAAAGCTGTGAAATTTTGCCATTAAGATTAGAAATGAGGGATTAGGGCTATTTCTCAGGAGGAAAGTGCTTGCTGTGCTATCATGAGTACCCAGGTTCATTTCCCCAGGGCCCATGTAAAAGGCTGGGTATGGTGGCTTATGTTTATAATCCTAGTACTGGGGAGGTAGAGACAGAAGGTTCCTTAGAGTTTGTTGGTTAGCTAGTCTTACTGAAGTGACAAGCTCCAGGTTCAGTGAGAGACCCTATCTCAAAAAATGTGACAGGTGATAAAAGAAGACACTTAACACTGGCTAGCCTCTGGCCTCCGCCCACACCTACACAGATGCATGTACACGCACATATTTGGAGTGTGTGTGCGCGTGCGCATATGCACACACACACACACACAAACACACACAGAGTGTCTGTTCTTCCTTTTAAGGTCACTGGTCCTATCTCTAACATAGCACCAAAGTGGTGATGAAAATACTACTGCCCACCCTAAGCACAGTATCATCTAGACATGCATGTCGAAGGAAAAATGGAGGACTGCAGGGGTTAAAGGAGGGTTCCAGGATCTTATTAACTAAGGGTCATTTCCCACTCCAGGAATATTGAACAAAAGATTCCAAAAGAACTCTGAAGAACATGAATTTAGAGCTAATAAACTAAATTCCATTTCAAAGTACCTACGTTTAATGTTCTGCCACCTGAGAACTGGGGCTCTACAAATATCCATGTGACTCACTTGTATTTCTCATTGATGTTGGAAATCCTCCAGGCGTTGTTCATATCAAAACCCATCCGCTCCACTTCATTCTTAAACCTTGACGTTACATGCTCCCCTAGAGACAGAGAGAGACAGCAGAAATAAAGAAATAAATAAAAATTTTCAAAATGGAAAAATGGTGTGGGACCATGGTCTATATTCTGTCAATTATATTTTAAATAAACACTGATTGGCCAGTAGCCAGGCAGAAAGCATAGGCGGGACAACCAGACAGGAAGTAGAGGCGGGTCCATGAGAACAGGAGAATTCTGGGAAGAGGACACAGTCCTGTCCATCCACAGAAGAAGCAAGATGTGACTGCCTTGCTGAAAAAGGTACTGAGCCATGTGACTAGCATAGACAAGAATAATGGTCTAATATAAGTTATAAGAGTTAACAAGAAGCCTGAGCTAATGCGCCAATCAGTTTATAGTTAATGTAGACTCTCTGTGTGATTTCTTTGGGACTTAACAAGTGCAGGGAACCAGGCAGGACAGAAACCTCCGTAAACAGAAAAACAAAACCACTACTACTTTGCTCTGTTCTATTTACATTGTTGTAAAGGCAGGAATGTATACATAAATAACATATATTTAGCTTTATTTGAAAAAGTAAGCAGAAAGAAAAGAGGACTAACTTAGATTAAGAATTATGTCATTGCCAAGTGGTGGTGGTGCACACCATTGATCCCAGCGCTCAAAAGGCAGAGGCAGGTGGATCCCTGTGAGTTTGAGACTAGCCTGGTCTACAAAGTGAGTTCCAGTATAACCAGGGCTACACAGAGAAACCCTGTCTCAAAAACCAAAACAACAACAACAACAAAGATATGTCATCTTAGCCACTGCACACCTTTAATCCCAGCACTCAGAAAAAAGAGGCAGACAGAGGCAAGTATATCTCTATGAGAATTCTAAGGCAGCCTGGGGGTTTATATAAGAAAGACCTTATTGCAAAAAAAAAAAAAAAATGTTGGGTTGCTTGAACTTTCTGTGGGTATTGCTGTGCTCATTAACTACACTCAATTTTTCAGAGGGCAAATGGTCTGGCGGAGGTTAGTATGACACATCTCTCTGTCCCAAACCCTTTCTTGTAACCACACAGACTACTTTCCTACCCCCCACCCAAACTGACAGTATGCATAAAAAGAAATAAAATCTGTCTTTAAAACCAGCAAGATTAGTAACATAGATCTAAAATTCTTCATGTAAACCTTCTGGGTCACGTTTCAGGACCTGGGAATTCTCTGGCTTTTAGATAGCTAAGACAGTGCATGTATGGAAACACTACAGTCACAATTCCAAGGGAGCTACTAAGGCATTCCTAGTTCCTCAGAGGAACACATGCACACTTCACACCACATGAGGTAACTGTCAGCTCAGATAAGGTCAAACTGCAAATAGGTTAAGAAATGCCTTCTGGTTTTCAGAGATTGCAGCAATCAGGCAAGTGATCACAGGATCCTAACTGACAGTGACCAGAAGTCCCAGGGAACACCCCATTATTAAAAGAAACTCTAGGCATTTGTAAGAACACATCCCATCCCCTAGCTATAACCTGGTCACATTTCTCATGAATGTGGCCCTTTCTCCCTGAAGACCCTAACAAAAGTAGAGCCAGACCTACACTTAAAAGGCTTTCCCATTTAAAGAAGTGCATGTTCTAAAGCATAACTTACTAAACAAAAGTATCAAGCAGGCTCCTAATGTGTACAACCCACATTGCCAGCTATAAAACAAATGTTTGCCGGACTAAAAGAAAGCACAACAAATAAAATACGCAACAGACTGCTTTAGAGAGAAGGATAAAGCTTTGCTCTCTCTGGGGAATGAGCTTCAGAGCAGGAAACACCAATTGCTTGGATGAAGGCCAATCCTGTAAAACCATGTTCCATTTAAACTACTTTTCTTGAGTTTAAGCTAAGGTATCACATGCTTCCGGAAGATGAGCTATAAAAAGATAATGTTCAGAGCAGCAGGAAGGAATAACAGTTAAATCTGGTCCATTTGGAAAAGTTTTAGAATCGATGTAACAGACTCTCAAATAGGGTACTAAGCTATCTGAACTGAGGTGTCATCTGTCTACAAATTGTAAAGAGTATTGGCCCTTTCATTTAAAATATAAAGCTGTAAAATTGTGGAAACTTTCAAGTTTGTTAAAAGGAGATAGCTGGAGAGATGGCTCAGTGGTTAAGAGCACTGGCTGTTCTTCCAGAGGTCCTGAACTCAATTCCCAGAACCCACTCGGTGGTTAACAACTGTCTATAACGGTATCTAATACCCTCTTCTGGTGTGCAGACCTATATGCAAACAAATGCCCACATACATAAAATACATGCATACATACATACATCTTTAAAAGAGAAAGGTGTTGTTATCCCTTCTCCTGATATACTTTTAGGTTTTACAGAGGTAGAATGCATTTTTATTAATGGTCTTTTATATTAACACCTTGATTTTAGGATAAAGTTATCCTAAAAGGATCCTGTGATTTTAAGAAATAACCACTGGCTTCTGGGCACCATCTTAGCAGATAATCTATTGTTTAAAACTGAGCTATGCTGGAGACCTAGAACAGGAAACGGCCATGGGGCAGGTGTTTAACCTGCCACAGCCAAAGGGATCTACAGCTTGAGAGGCAGTTGTGGCCTGGAGCAGATCTCATTAACTGACACTAACTTTAGAGTTAGACAGACTTGAGCTTGAGGTCTGTAGGTAGATCAGGCTCTGGAGTCTGAAAACTCTGCAGTTCCAATGATCAATACTCAGGGGGTTAGAAAGCATGGAAACAGGCCCTTCACCCATGCAGATCTGAATGCTGTGGATGCTCCTCCCACTCTCCACTCTCTAGCTAGGACCCAAGGGAAGTCTACAGGGGTATAAGAAATCTGTCTAGCCCACCAACCACAGAGATAAGTGTGGCCATCAGAAGTTTTTTTTGTTTTTTTTTAATATTTATTTATTTATTATGTATATAATATTATGTCGGTGTGTATGTCTGCAGGCCAGAAGAGGGCACCAGACCCCATCACAAATGGTTGTGAGCCACCATGTGGTTGCTGGGAATTGAACTCAGGACCTTTGGAAGAGCAGGCAATGCTCTTAACCTCTGAGCCATCTCTCCAGCCCAGAAGTTTTTGGTACACAAACAAGAGAAGCTATACAAATGAAGATAGTTAGAGTAGACATTAGATACAGGCTCAAATCAGCATAAATCTGAAAGACTAAGAATCAACAGGTACAGCTAACCTTTCCCTTCCTCACCATGCATGTAACTGGCAGTCTGCCATCTGAAGCTGCTAACATGTCAGCTTTTCCTTTCATTCCTCCATTTCCTTTATAGTATTTTTGTGGTAATATTTTTACTTATAACACTTTTAAAAGGTTTTTATTTATTTTAAAAAATAGTATGGATGTTTAATCTGCATGAATGTCTGTGTATCACTTGCATGCTGGTGCCCATGGAGGAAAGAAGAAGGCATAGAATCCGCTGGAACTGGAGTCACAGATGGTTGTTGAGCTACCATGTAAGAGCTGGGAATCAGACCCTCGTCCTCAGGAAGAGCAGCCATTGCTTTTATCTTAATTGCTGAGCCATCACTGAAGCTCCAACTTTTAGGTCTTTAATTCTTATTCTTCATAAATTAATCTAGCATACTATTATCCTTTCCTTACTTGGTTTTTCCTTTTATATTTCTTATTATCTTTCTTCCTATGATATTTTTTAAATATTTATTTATTTATTATGTATACAATATTCTGTCTGTATGCCTGAAGGCCAGAAGAGGGTGCCAGACCTCTTTACAGATGGTTGTGAGCCACCATGTGGTTGCTGGGAATTGAACTCAGGACCTTTGGAAGAGCAGGCAATGCTCTTAACCACTGAGCCATCTCTCCAGCCTCCTCATTTATCTAATTAAAAAAAACCTCACAAATAGGGTATCATTTTCATTTTCCCTTCCATAACTTCCCCACTTGTCTTTTTCTTTATGTTAACCTTCCCCTGTCTCCTACATCTCATCCACTTACTGCTCCAGTTTGCCCTGAGGAGTTTTAACCTCACAGCACAATCTATATTAGTTTCACCATTCTGCCCCACAGCCACTTCTAATGTAGGAGTGAGCTTTAATCAGGCTTGAATCAAGTGGGTTCTCTGTCATATACGGTCTGACATTGCCATTAGAAGGCTTATTTTTCCCTTTCTCAGTGGGAGGAAGGCCCCAAGATTAAGCTTCTCACTAAGAATACTTTCAAATAAAAAACAGAAGCAACACCCGAACTAGCAGATTCACAAATCACAATCTAGGAACAGAAGAAACATGAAAGGTCAGAGCATTTTAACTCCCCGACAGCTGAAATTAAGGCACTGCCAGATGAAAGATCCAAGTTTATTGGCGAAATAATTGGTGTTCTCAAAGAACATGCAACCAGCAACTAAAGAAAAAAGTCAGCAAGAAACAGACAAAGCAGTGAATGAAAAAAATCAGTAACATGGATGATAAAACAACATGGAAGAAAATTTTAGCAAAATTGGTGTTTTATAAAAAAAATGTTAAAAATAAAGAACTTGGTAAATCAGATTTTAAAAAAATAAAAACAGTGGAAAGCATCACCAACAGACCACCCATGCAGAACATTCTCAGGGGTGGAGGCCAAGGACAAGAAAAGACCATATTAAAGCATTAATAAAAATAAATAGCCAGGTATGGTGGTGCACACTTTAACCCCAATAATCATAAATTCAAAGTTAACCTAATCGACATACAGTTCCAGACCAGCCAGAGCTATACAGTGACACCCTATCACAAAACAAACAAACAAACAAGTGAACATAACAGTGATAAATACTGGGACACAGTCAAACCTAAGATAAAGATATAAAAGGCCCATATATTAATAGAGAACAATTTATTGAGAAGACATAACAGCTGTAAAGGCATATGCATCAAATGTTGGGGCTTCCAATTTCATAAAGCAAACATTAATGAACACAAAAGGTCACATAGTTCCTTCCGCAGCCAGTAATTGTGGATGACTTCTATACCCCACATTCATCTTTAGACATGTCATCAAAATAAAAATTCACAAAGAAAACTTCAGAATTAAACTACATCATAGATCAAATGAATATAATAGACTTCTACAAAATATACAGA